ACATTTTATTTAAATTGATTGTATTTTATTTTATTTTAATTCATTTTATTTTATTCTATTTAATTTTTACAAATTCCTTTTGCTGTTCCTATCCGCTTGTTAAGTGTGACGTCACCCGAAGCAGCTTCCGGGTCCAAGCGCTCTATTCAACTGAATGGGGAGATAGATGAAATGGTAATAATAAACGTTTACAAAGCGATTTAATACTTTCGAAAGTCACGATTGCAATATATATGTCCATGCCTAATATTCGATGGCCAGAAAGTGAGTCATTTTTATAAATTGTTAAAATGTTGGTATTTGTTATGCAGCAAGCCCAGAGATTGTTGTGTACACTATGACTTTATGTAAAATTAACTTTAATATTTGATAGGAAGGGCGAGGCAGTGGCGCAGGTGTTTCTGTGTGGAGTTTGCATGTTCTCCCTGCCTTTGCGTGGATTTCCTCCGGGTGCTCCGGTTTCCCCCACAGTCCAAAGACATACGGTACAGGTGAATTGGGTAGGCTAAATTGTCCATAGTGTATGAGTGTGTGTGTGGATGTTTCTCAGAGATGGGTTGCTGCTGGAAGGGCATCCGCTGCGTAAAAACTTGCTGGATAAGTTGGTGGTTCATTCCACTGTGGCGACCCCGGATTAATAAAAGGACTAAGCCGACAAGAAAATGAATGAATGACTGAATGAATGTATGATAGGAATAAAAAGTGATCATAAATGAATGATTTCTCCACTCAAGTGAATGGCGGCTTGGACCCGGAAACAGTATTACATACGTCACAAACACATCACCACTTAACAAACGGATAGATACATTTTTAACATTGGCTCAGTATTTTTTAAGTATTTCTTTATTGTTATGTAATTATATGTTATTGTATACCTTTCTCATTTTATTACCTATTACCTTTGCTCTCCCCGTAGACATACAAATCATCCCCACCCATCTGACTTTCCAGCCTCCACCAAAGGCTGTCAGTGAAAGCCCACACACACATATACACACACCTAGCCAAGCATGGATAAACGGTTAAAATATTCATACGTAAGAACACAGAAAGAGAAAGAGAGAGCATACAACCATGCAACAGAGCAAAGCAATGAAGCTGAGAGAGAAAGGAAAGCGTATCAGCCCTGTTTGATCCAGTACAGGCCACATGGTCCAACTCTCATTAGTGTAATTAAATCCACAAATCACCTCAGAAAAATACATTGACATTCATTATTGCCCACCACTGAGATGGAGAACTGCCACTTTTGTGGAGGCTTACAGAGTTTGGAGCGGTGCTGAAGCCCTCAGCATTTTCGATACGAGTCCTCCCTGACAAAAAGACGATGAAAGTCACTGAATGATTTACAGTGACTGAGGAAAAGAGGACAGTGAGATGCTAACACTGAAAGTAGCACACAAAGTCTGCATAGAGCCAGACACACACAAACACGCACAAACTGTTGACTCTAACATTATCTCTCTTGTTCATTACATTAGTTTTATTATTTCTAATCGTTATTAGGTTTTATTACCTATTTTAGGTTTCATTTTTTGCGATATTATTTATTTGTTTTGACATAGACATCACAATTACACTGGACAACCAAATGCGTTTGTTTAAGTGGTTTAGCAGACTTGCTAATTCTGTCCAAGGAACACTTGACATAAATTGAACATAAAATAAATACATATAGAGAGAAAACACATTGATCAATAGAGGTCTTACTCTTTGGAATAAGACAGTCACGATTAGCAGTTGCTTGTGTAACTCTGCGAGAGGTTTGATGCCTACATGATTATTTAAACATTTAAAAAACAATTTTATAAATACAACTTTATTAAACTATCAAAACTAAAAGGTTATGTTTACATAAAACCTCACAATTATGCCATCGCATAGGTTTTAAGTCCATACTTTTACTGCTTGTTTATATATCGTGTCAATAGGCTTCAGTGTGGTTACAGAGGTTTGTTACCATGATGTAATGCAATATGACAAGTGTGAGAATATCATTGTGTGCATGTTTAATTTTGCAGTTTGATATGTTACAAATTTTCTAATAAAACAAAAAAAATTAGACTTGGATTGACCTTCTTACACATATTTTTAGCATGAGTATCAAATGTTTCATTTATGTCTAGAGTTATGCCAAGATACTTGATTAAAACTGTACATGTTGAAATTGAAACTCCAAACTGCAATAAAAATTTATATCTTCCAATTCTGTATTATTTATTTATTTATTGCTGTTTTGAGAATTCAAAACTATTTTTTTAATTCAAATTAAATTCATTGGTTGACTTTATATAGTGTAAAAACTATAATAATAATAATAATAATAATAATAATAATAATAATAATTGACAGTTCATTCCACTGTGAAGACCTCCGATAATTTAGAGAGTAAACTGAAGAAAAATTAATGAATGTATACAATAATAATATTAATAATAATAATAATATTAATAATAATAGACTGGAGTGACCCCTGATAATAAGGAACTAACTCAAAGAAAAATGAATGAATTTTAATACAATAATAATAATAATAATAATAACAACAACAACAACAACAACAACAATAATAATAATAATAATAAAAATAGGTGGTTCATATAACTGTAATGACCCCTGATAATAAAGGGACTAACTCAAAGAAAAAATGATGAATATATTTTAATAATAATAATAATAATAATAATATAAATAATAATAATAATAATAATAACAACAACAACAATAACAACAACAACAACAACAACAACAATAATAACAATAATAATGTTTTGGAAAAAGTTTACAGTACAGTACAGTATTAGTACAGTATCAGTACAGTAGAGATATCGGGTTCTAATTTACAGTATGTGGAAACAGCTGTGTGTGTTATTTATCTTTTTTATTGGCTCCACAATTTTTTTTATTTTTCTAATGCAGTTTTTTTTTTTTTTTTTTGGCTTAATTTGTCACATTTGTATATAATTCTGCTGCTATTACTCACCTAAAATTGGCACCAATAATTAAATTAAAAAATATTTAATTATTAACAACGCTCAACATTTTAAAAAATTTTTTGTATGAACACATATAAAATGTAATTTTATATTTGCGTGCGTGTGTGTGTGTCTGAGTATAAAAAAGTCTGATCTGAAATAGCATGTGCTGACTGTGCAGCATTTTAGTGTTGTTAAACCTGCTCTCACATACTAATCAATTTGTCTTTTTGAAGCATTCAGGCCGTGTCAGATCACTACTGAGCTAATATTATGCAGAAACATGAATATAAAGTGATGATGTGCGCAGTGTTTAGATAAGACTGAATTCTAGAAAGATGAGAAAGTATTATTGTCACAAGTTTTTAACTTTAATAAACTTTAATGGCACAGCTCCATTTTCAGTATCACAGGGAAATATTGCTTTATTTATTATTATATTATATTATAATAAACATTTATAAATATTTAAAATGACTGTTTTTATGCACATCTTCTTTTGATAAATTCAAGTCAGATTGGCTTATTTATAATGATAAAGAATTAGTACATTAATCAGTCAACGAAGAATGAATGAATGAATGAATGAATGAATGATTTGATTATTTAATATTTGTTGTTTTTGTTACTTTGAATTAAAACATTCTAATGAATTGTGCTATTTAGCATTCAAATAAGTTTCCACTATTCTTAGTTGCAGATTTAGTTTTAGATCAGAAACCACTAGTCAGAACTGTACATATGTTGTCACAGTGTTTTTATGAAAGTCAAATGAACCTTAGCTCTTAAACCAGTAAGCAATCTACAATCAATAACACAAACAAATAAATGAAAACAATGTTTTATTTTCTTTAGGTGGTTCTAAAATGTTTTTGGGCCCTTTATACACCCGACATAAGACATGTTTGCACAATTTTTTGCTATTTTCAGACCAGCGCAACACAAATTTTTAAGTTGTTTAAATACAAGAGCGCATTAGTTATGCATCTATGCAGGTACAAAAGCTTAATACACGGAATGTACAGCAATATACAAATATCTTTAAATATGAAAAAATAAAGGATTAAAATGCTACAAGAATTCTTTTTACTACATAAATACAAAAATCATACCTGCATACCTCCTCTTAGGAGGCTTTTTCTGTTTATTCATGACAATTTGCTTTTGTATAATATTATTATTTTTAGTAGTAGTATTTATTATGTGCGTATTTATTTTAATAAAAACAACTTTTTGATTTTCACCATATGGGCAGTTTTTTATTATTGTTAATTTATTCATTTGCTGGAAATTAGAACTGAATTTAGAAATAGTTTTGAAGCAATTAGATTTAAAAAAAATTAAATATGTAGGCTTATAGAAGTCTTCAGTGGTGTGCGCTCAACAACATTTCCTCATCCAAGAAAGAAAAGGAGTAAAGTAAAAAGTAAAAGTAAAAAGAAAGTAAAGAGGCTGAATGGAGGAGGCTCACTCTTTATCCTCGCGCTGCAGATGGTCTTTTTAGATTTTTTCTTGCTAGTAAAGAGCTCAGTTTTTACTCTTACAAAGTCTGCCATGTAAATATTAAATGCGCCATGGCGCCATGCAACTGACTCGTAGAGTGTATTTTTCCGTCTTTAAAATAACAAAAGTGGATTCGGACATGCCCTTAATACGTTTGGGCCACGCACTTTAGAATTTGCGCCTAGATAGTTAAAATAGAGCCCTTTGTCTTTTGTTATAGGTTATTTTCACTTTACATTGTGTTATAAATGTAGGCATTGTGTTTTAAAGACTGGTATGTTGATGTTATCATATATTTTGCCTTTTAGAGCGCAAGAAATTGTGTGTATCGATGCTGCTGAAAATACTGTTGATTTTGTATTATTTTAAAAAAGTCAGTATAAACACATATCGAAATATCAATAGAATACGTTTGATAACACTATGAGTGTGTGCTTTATAACAGCAGATGCTCAGCTGAGAGTATGTCGAGTCTGTGTTTCTCTGACTTTGACGTCTGTCTTTTGTTGTTTTGTGCAGGTGCAGGTGGGAAGCTCCGCTCAGGACCAGCGTGTTGTTGGATACATCACCTGTACTCATCTGCATGCTATTGAAGGCAAGTGTTCAGACATACAAAACAAAGGCTGAGTCATATTATTGTGACTCCTTGAATGAGAATCACCTAGCAACCAGTTAGGGGTGGTTTTCCCCAAAACCTTGTTAGATAGCTATGGTCAAAATTATTCGCCCTTCTGTGAATTTCTTTTTCTTTTTCAAATATTTCCCAAATGATGTTTAATAGAGCAAGAATGTTTTCACAGTATTTCCTATAATATTTTTTTTTCTGGAGAAAGCCTTATTAGTTTTATTATATTTTCTAGAATAAAAGCAGTTTTTAACTTTTTAAAAACCATTTTAAGGTTAAAATTATTAGCCCCTTTAACCTATATATTTTTTGATTGACAGAACAAACCATCCTTATACAACGGCTTGTCTAATTACCCTAACCTGCTGAGTTAACCTAATTAATCTAGTTAAGCCTTTAAATTGTATTTTAAACTGAATACTAGTATACTAGTATTAAAAAAATATCTAGTAAAATATTATTTACTGTCATCATGGCAAAGACACAAGAATTATTAGAAACTAGTTAATAAAACTATTATGTTTAGAAATGTGTTAAGGCAGGGGTGTCAAGCTCAAATCCTGGAGGGCCGAAGCCCTGCACAGTTTAGTTCCAACCCTGCTCCAACACACTTACCTGTAGGATTCAAACAAGCCTGAAGGACTCAATTAGTTTGATCAGGTGTGTTTAATTAGGGTTGGAACTAAACTGTGCAGAGCTGCGGCCCTTTTGGAACTGAGTTTGACACCTGTGTGTTAGGGGGACTAATAATTCAGGATGGCTTAATATTCTTCAACTGCATAAACTTGGGGTGGGAATATTTACGGACTTTAGAATCTGTTGCGATTCCAGTTATGGATGTCATGATCTGATTTCAAAACGATTCTTGACCGACATTTTTTTCTATTTCTTAAGCTGTGAAAAAAAATCTTTCCAACTTTACATTTGTAGCGATAATTGAGTTCCTATGTATTTGCTTATGATTGGAATCTATGTATGACTGTACTGCCATGTTAAAAATTATTTATTTTTATTAACAAAATTATATTCACAATATACATCATAAGTCCTGAATGTAATACTAAAACAAAGCATAGTTTCAGCCTAATGTGATAAGTGGAACTAAGTAAAAATTTAGTTTTAAATCTGTATATTTAGTTCAATAATTATAATTGTATTTTTATTGTGATATTAATAATTATTGTATTATACACTCTCAGAAATAAAGGTACGTGATCTGTTACTGGGGTGGTATCTTTTCGAAAGGTACAAATTTGTACCTAAAAAGTCCATATTGATACCTCAAGGAAACATATTAGAACCTAAAAATTTTAAGAAGAAAACTTTTGTATTTTTTAGGTAGTAATTCGTACCCTTGAGGTATTAATATAGACCTTTTAGGAACAAATTTGTACCTTTTGAAAAGGTACTACCCAGTGACCAATCTCTTACCTTTATTTCTGAGAGTGTATTATATTAATATTGTTTGCCAAAATTAACAAATATAAAGTATATAAGGGTGAAGAGGCTGTACGAGTGCTGTTATTGCAGAATATTGCACGGCTATCTGCCAATCAGATTTGAGAACCAGACAGAACTGTTGTCTAAATATATATGTAGTTGTTATGTATATGTATAAATATAAATAAAGTTGTAGATGTTATTGGTATTTTTCCATTTAAATTTTTATTAATTACTTTATGGATGTTATTTCACATTGTTTCACTTTCTTGTATACATTATTAATGAAACATCTTTTACATAACATAAATTTTATTATGCAGCCATATTTTCTCCTCAGGACCATAATGTTTGCACCATGTCGCCTGTTCATGTTTAAGCCCCACACATCCATTCATGACCCCCAGTGCTGCTGCTTTGCTCAGACCGTCGCTCTGATCCTGAGCGATCCTGACAGGTTTGTCCGGACCTCGCTGCTCGTCTCCCGAACATCCAGTAGATTTCCATGTCTCTCGTATGTGAGGCTGTACAATCTCCTCTACTCTGCTTTTTCATCTCAGTATCCTGTGTCATCGCTGCGTGTTGTTGACCCCTGTTCTCCGCTCCGATTAATCACAGCACTTCCCGCTCGCCCACCGGCTCCCGTTTCCATGACGACAGGTGCTCGGCGGGCCCTGGCGTCAGCCCTATTTAAAGCCCGCGCTCATTTTTTACAAAGACACTCGTGCTATTCTGGGCTCCACCTACGCATGCGTGTGTCTGCCGCCAGGGCTAATTATAGAGCGCCACTATTTCAGGAGCAGAAATGAAGCATGAGGGAGAAACCTGATTATGCTGGAGATGATGCTGGACAGGGTCTGGGCTTTCTCAAACACTTGTTTTCCCCTGTCACACTCTGTTTGTGTGTGTGTGTACAGTACAGTGTGGTAGAGTATAGGTTTTGACAGTGCAGAGGCAGATTGGAGTTATTCTCCTGACACACACACACACACACACACACACACACACACACACACACACACACACACACGTGTACAGTATGTCAGGTTACCTGCCTTGTGGTTTCGTGTTCAGTTTTGAGATTTCAGGAAAATGTATTGCTCACTAGTTGCTTGTGTCAGGTGGAGTTAATCTTATGTTTGTACTATCATGTATCAAAATATGATTTATTGTTATTTTAAAATGTATGATACGATTGTAACATTATTGGTTTTATCATTCATTCATTCATTTTCTTTTCGGCTTGATCCCTTTATAAATCTGGGGTTGCCACAGCGGAATGAACCGACAACTTACGACAACAGCTGGAACCCATCACTGGGAAACATCCATCTCATTCACACACATACACTACCAACAATTTAGCTGACCCAATTGACCTATACCACGTTTTTGGACTCGTGGGGAAAACCAGAGCACCCAGAGGAAACCAACACAAATAAGGGGAGAACATGCTAACCCAGCCTGGGCTCGAACCAGTAACCTTCTTGCTGTGAGGCGATTTTGTAACCCACTGCACCACTGGTTTTATCATTTAAAACATAATATATTCATATTATTTATAATTAGGGCTTGACATTAACTTTTTTTGATCACCAGCCACTAGTAGTTTTCCAACATTATTTCCTACACTAGTAGTTTTATACATTAGCCACTCGCCATTTTTACTAGCCACAAATTTGTTGTTGGGAAATATATTTTATATGCAGAAAATTGACTTTGGCATGCTAAGATTACTTGATTTAGAGTTTGTGTTATGTCCCAGCCTGATTTCACGAGGAAACGTAAGTATTTTACGTTTTGTCAGTTTAGTGGCTAGTTCAGTTGTATTAAAATGTACAATTTTAAAAAGGAGACGTGGCACCCAAACCCCAACCCTAAACCCAACCGTCATTGGGTGATGAGCAAATCGTACTAAATTGTACGAGTTAGATCGTACGAATTCATACGAATTAGCCACAAAATCAAAAAGTTATGATTTGCCGCGAGAATGTGTTGTATGTCCACACGCTTTCTCATTCAACTTTTTTGTGTGCTATGTATGACCTGCTCAAATGGGTTGTGGTTTCATTTGTGTTACATTGCAATTCATTTTTATTTTAGACTTTTCAGGGCTTAACATTAGGGATTTACCAATTTTTTCACTGGCCACATCAAAAAAATAGATAAATAAATAAACAAATAACTAATTATTTCATTCATTCATTTTCTTTTTGGCTTAGTCTTAATCTGGGGTCGCCACAGCGGAATGAACCGCCAACTTATCCAGCACGTTTTTAGGCAGCGGATGCCCGTCCAGCCGCAGCCCATCCCTGGGAAACAACCATACACACTCATTCACTACGGACAATTTATCCTACCCAGTTCACATGTACCACATGTATTTGGATTGTGGGGGAAACAGGAGCATCTGGAGGAAACCCACGTGAACGCAGGGAGAACATGCAAACTCCACACAAAAGCGCCAACTGACCCAGCCGAGGCTCGAACCAGTGACCTTCTTGCTGTGAGGCAAAAGCACTACCTACTGCGCCACTGTGTTGCCCTAATTATTTCTTAACTACAAATTTTAACTAGTTAAAAATTTTTAAAACAAGCTAAATATAGCTATGTACATGCACTTTTTATTCCATAAAACCTTTCCTTAAAAAAATTGCATTTAAAAAATAACTATTTTCATCTAAAACTATGCACAGTGATCTGTCCAGGCTAAAGGTCCCAGATCACCAGTTAACTGTAGATAAATGGGAAGTTAATCTTCTATTAAAGCAATGTTATTGTAATGGTTGATAATTTAACCATAAAATTATCATAAAAAACAGCGCAAAAGAAAGCAGGTGAAAAACATGCTGTGTGCAATAATAAAAGATGATGATCACGTGTACATGGTTAACATTAAGTCCTTTAATAATCTGTTCAAAGAATGGTTAAAGAGCCCCTATAATACATTAAAAAGGGTCATATTTTGGTTTTAAGGGTCTCCAACAACAGTCTGATATGCATGCAAGGTCAAAAAACACTTTTATTGTTTTATAATATGCATCTATTTTTACCTAATTATCCCAGCGACTCCCAAATGAATCGTTCAGTGATTCATTTGTACCCAAATCCTACCTTAGCGCGAAGCTAATCTGCGCTGATTGAACCGATGATAGTCTGTTGCGAATGGTCAACAGCATTTAGCACGAGACAGACGTTGTAAGCGTGTAGATTACTGAAGCACTCGTCAGAAAAATGAGGGCTATAATGCTGTGGTATTTTTGCTAAATTAAACCTCACCACTGACTCGTCACAGTTTCATCTTTGGGTTGAGAAAATAACAATAACTTTTGCTCACATTTCCAATAATATCCAGCTGAGCACAGCGTCTTCATGAATTGATTCAACCGGATTTTGCTACAGTGTTTGTCTTTCTCTTTTTCTTTGCTACTGTTTGTAGGCAGAGTCGCAAGTTTAAATTTTCCCAGGTTTGCACACGTAGCAATTTAGCGGGGCTTAAGTTTCGTATCGTCATGCCGAAATGGCTTATTAAAATTATTCATTTGAAGCACTATAAGTAGACTTTTATAAATGAATCAATATTTTTAAACACTAAACACTTTCAGATTTAAGTCTTAGCTGGATATTTCACTTCACTTAGAGCTGTGTTACACACTACATAGAAGCTCATATTCAAAAACCCATAATAGAGGCTCTTTAAAGCGAAAGCGGACCGCTGCTGCTTACAAACAAAAACAAAAAAACGTTTAAAAAAAAAAAAAAAAAACTGGAGCTCTTGAATGCAGCTGGACTGTGAGTGCATGAACATTACTTTTTCATCAAGTATATTTAGGCACAGTTGCTTCACGCAAGGAAACGGGATCACGCAAACTTTATAAACACTCACGCGCCTCACATCAGCCATGCGCGCAATACTAAAGTCCTCATCAGTAAGTGAAGAAAGCTTGCGTCTATTTTGTCACTCGTGCTGCTTCTCGATGAACTACAGTCTAAAAATGATTTTCAGCCAGCCAAAGTGGCTAGCGAGAGCGGCTCTCCAACCCACCAAGCTGAAATCTACCCGCATTTGGTGGGTTGGTGGGTGTTAATGTCAAGCCCTGTTTATAATATATCTATAAAAATATAATACCTTTAAATCTATAATTTTTCTACAATAAGTTTAGTTATTTTAGTTTTTAGTTATTAGTTTTAGTTTTTATTGATTTTGTAATTGTCTGTGTGATGAACATATTGTGGTAAAACACAATAATGTAGTCTTTAATAATGGTGACAACTAATCCAAACAGAGAAAAAAATAAACATTACATATAATCATAGATACTGTAACGACGGGGTGGAAGTGACAGATACAACTGAGGTAAGATCCAATATGCAGGTTTATTCAGCGTCAAGCAAGCAGTGGTCAAATCAGGTACAATCGGGTATATGCAGACAAATCCAAAATCGTAGTCGTAAATCAGGCAATAGGTCACAAGGCAGGCGGCTAAACAGGAGAACAGGGAATACAGGGCTAGGTTCTAACACGGAGAAAACAAGACAGGGAAATGCGTTGTAATGTCACAAAAAGTAAACAAGACTCGGTAAACCAGATGGGTGCAAGAGTGGCTTATGAATAATGTGTATTCAGTTTCTGACAGGGTTCAGCTGGTGAGTGTAATCAAGTTAGATGAATGAGCAGGTGTGCGTGTCTGGGAGAAGTGCATGTATGAATATGTAGTCCTGGGAAATGGGGAAGTGTAGTTCTGGTGTTCGTGTGAATACCAGCGAGCTCTGGAGAGCGATTGCTGGTTGTGTGACAGATACAAATGAACAGTAAGATGGAGAAAGTCTCAAATACTCAAATACTATGGGGGAATCACTTAATTAATTAACTAATATGATGATGAGAAAACTGAACAAAGGGAACCAACAAAACAAACAGACGTGTTACATTTCTCCCCCATTCTGGAAGGCTTGACCTCAGTTCTATTAATGTTTTAATATTGCCCACTTCTATTTTCGAATGAAGGACAGGGGCTTTGGAGGAGGATGTGAAGCAGGTGATGACTGTTAGAAACAGGGTGTTGATAAAAAGGTTGAAGGCACTGGCCCTCCAGGAACAAGTTTGGTGACCACTGATGTATAGTGTCCCCGTCATTATACTGAGGTAATGTGACTAGGGTAAGGGTTAGATTAGGTTCATCTTCAATTAACATCAGTTAACTTTAGCTGCTTGTTCAAACTACTTCTTCATAATGGGTTAAGACAACACAGTTCTTAAGTTTTTTTTTTTTCATTTCATTGTTTTATGTTCACTTAAATTATTCATTTGTTCATTCATTTTCCTTTGGCTTAGTCCCTGATTTATCAGGGGTCACCAATGTGGAATGAACCGACAACTTATGCGGCACTTGTTTTACACAGTGGATGCCCTTCCAACCGTAACCCAGTGGGAAACACCCATGCATTCACACATACACTCATATGTTAAGGCCAATATAGTTAATCAAATTTATCTATAGCACATGTCTTTGGACTGTGGGGGAATCCGGAGCACCTGGAGGAAATCCAAGTGAACATGGACATGCAAACTCCACACAGAAACGCCAACTGGTCCCGTCAGGACACGAACCAGCGACCTTCTTGCTGAGAGGGAACAGTGCTAATCACTGAGCCACAGTGCCGTCCCACTTAATTTTGTAAAAATGATTAAGTTAACTAAATCGTTTTGTTTCGGGACAACATGAAGGAATTGTCTGGAACCCAATATTTTTTACAGTGTGGGGCTGGAATTGAGGAGTTGGCTGAAACAAGAAATAAGGAATCAAAGCAACATTTAAAGCAAAAATCTCAGACTCCTGTTATAGCTCACCCTGAGTGTAAAAGTGTGGGCAGGGTTTCCATTCATGTCCTTGAACTCCACAAAGACTCGCTTGGGAACTGGCAGTTTTTTTGGCTTACGCACCAATTTTTTGAAAAGAAAACCAGTTCCTGAAAAATGACATAAATCGAACACACACACACACACACACACACACACACACACACACACACACACACACACACACACACACACACACACACACACACACACACACACACACACACACACACACACACACACACACACACACACACACAACCCCTTTTAGACAATTTCAAAGAACATTTTTAGCAGCATCACACACACTTCAAACTGTTTGAGCAATTAATCTGCTGTTTTTCTTTCCCCTCAGTTTTCCTCTCCTCCACTTTCTCTGGAGTAGAAATGTTGCAGATCGTCTGCTCTTTCAGTCTGCTCCACTGCTCATTCACTCTCTCGCTGGCCTCATTAAATCTCTACATCTGCCACAACCATGAGTCGTGAAAATGTGATAAAGTCAAGGCGCCTCAGTGTGACGCTTTTTCATTACACTACATCCAAATCAAATGCTGTTTTGCACAACACTCCACATGCTCCTTACTGAATGAAGGCATCCGTCAGATTCAGTCGTGACTTTTGATTATTTGGTTTTGGTATGTATTTTAGGCGATGCGGCGGTGCGCTGCGAGCAGTTGGACATGTTGTTGGAGTGGGGCGCAGAGTTTCGAAGGGTCACCTCGTGTCCCGCAGATGAGGAGAAGGTGCTGGAGGATCAGGTGGCCTTCGATGTGATCCTCGGAGACCTCAACTTCGACAACTGTTCCTCAGGTATAACAGTGCTGATGATTTACAGATCAACTGGGGCTTTTAATTATAAACCAGTGTTGTATAACTTTAGTTGAATTCTGATAAGGTTCATTCAAAAACACTCTTAAACCTTTCACGCATGCTATCACACTTGTGTGATCAGCCTTGGCTGTTCCCTAAAGCATACTATTATACCGGTGTGATTAGAATGTTCAGAGTGCACGTCATCAACTGCTATAAATCTTTTACAAATAATAGGTGATCCAAATTTTGTTCAGAAAGCTTCAGAGCCAGTACTATGCATCTTATAACAATTATATATAGCATTTATATTTTGGTAAAGTTTTTATATAGTAAATAATATTTCTTCACAGTTGTATTTACTTATTTAAATAAAAAGCAAGACCTATTCAGTATGAGAAAAATATAAACAATAATCTAGTGTTTAGTTAAGTTTTATTTTTATTATTAGATGATTTAGAAGTGTTTTGTTTGCGTTCAATAAAAAGTTTGACTAAAAATCATTTCAATTATAATTCTTAAAAGTTTTTTCAAAATTTATTTTATTTTTAAGGGAACTATCTTTTTAAGAACTGTGAGATCTAAAATATTCATTATAATAATACATATTCTTCTTTTTGTAAAACCCAGCAGACAACTTTATCAAATGGAATGAGTGTAGTTAACTTAAAATTACTGAAAGTTAATTTTACTCATTTAAAGAGTTTTGAACTCAGTGAAAGTAACTCATTACTTCAACTTAAATGGAGTAAGTTCACAGTACTTATATAGATACATTTTTTAATCAAATGGTTTGTAGCAATAAGTTTCCTGAAATGGTTTGAGTTACCTTAACCTTTTGGGTTTTACAGTGTTTATATATATTTCACAACAAGGGAAAATGTACATTAGTTAGCATTCCCTGAGAATGTAAATGTACCCAAATTAGCCTATTGACTAGTTTTCATTGGTGGTCCCTTAGCTAAATGTTAAAGGCCAAACCAATAAACATACAAATTCAAACTCAAACAATTAAAAAAAAAATAGTGTTTACAATTATTATTGTTATTATTAAGAAGCAATTTCTTCAAATTATACTTACAGTAAATGACTTAACATACACATTCTTTAACAGATTTCAAATTCCACTGATGCGATGCTTTAAAAGAAAAACAAGCTTGACCAAAAGAGTTTTTCTTAGTGCAATAATGCAATCAGCTTTATTTATACTATTCATAGTAATAAAATGCTGATGTTCAGCTCACTTGCTAACTATTTTAGATCTTTAATAATTAGATGGCTGTTTATGACCAGAAGGAGGCATTGTAACCCTATCTGTCATGTGTTTTCTGTCCCTTTAGAGGATAAGTTGGAGCAGCAGCATTCGCTCTTCACTCATTATAAAGACCCGTGTCGTCTGGGACCAGGAGAGGACAAACCCTGGGCTCTAGGTCAGTTATCAAAACAGTTTACAAACACACAAAGTCTCAGTCTCAAAGGTGCGGGCAAATGGCTGAAGATTTGCCACTTCTGCACTTGTTGTGGTTCACCAACATGGGGTTTTTCAAGAGCTAATGCAAATGGAACTTTCTAGAGATCAATGTAATGATGAAACATATGTACAACACAGAAATGTTTATCATATTTATCCTAAATACATTTAGATTTTTAGATGACACAAAATAAATTGTTTTGAATGTTACACTATGTTATGATTAACATTTAATATAGTTATGATATTTTATAAACATATATGTATAAAACAATTTAGTTTTTTATTATTATTTTTATTATTATAAATGTTATTATTGTTTTTATTTCTATTATACTGTTAATTTTTTAATTAAAATAATATTTTTAGTATAATAATGTGTTCATATATATATATATATATATATACAGTTGAAGTTTGAAGTCAGAATTATTAGCCCCCTTTTGATTTTTTTATTCTTTTTTAAATATTTCCCAAATGGTATTTAAAAGAGCAAGGAAATTTTCACGGTATGTCTGATAATATTTTTTCTTCTGGAAAAAGTCTTATTTGTTTTATTTCGACCAGAATAAAAGCAATTTTGAATTTTTAATAAAATATTTTTGGGACAAAATTATCAGCCTCTTTAAGGTAATTTTTTTTTACGATAGTGTAAAGAACAAACTATTATGCTTAAAAATGTGTTGAAACAATCTTCCCTCCATTAAACAGAAATTGGGGGAAAAAATAAATAGGTATGATAATAATTCAGGGAGGCTAATAATTCTGTCTTCAACTGTATGTATATATATATATAGACATGGCAAAATTCAATTGTATAACTTTTTTTCAGTGAGTTTAATATTTATATATTATAATGTCTTTAATTATAATAATATAACAGTATATTTTAAAACTAAAATATTTCATAAGAATAAAGTATCTTATAATTATATATGTATTTTTCATTAAATAGTGTATCAGCATATTTTATTTTAATTTAATATTCATATTTTTGTTACATATTATTTTAAAAAGTTTCAAATTTTGGTCTTTTAACCTTTTTCCATCTTCAAAAATATTTTTTAGCACATAAAAAATCCCCCAGGTGTCTAAATTGAGTGAGTTTCTGAGGTATTACTGACACATGCAGATGGTGCAGTGGATGAGCTGGCGGTTGACCAGGGCAGAGACGCTGATGTCCAGTCCTGGTTCTGAAATAGATCTGATGGAGAGCAGGCCTTTAATGACTCATCTGGCTTTAGTAAACTCTACTTCTCTTTTATAGCACAGCTACTTTTTGCTCTTCTCTGAGCCTCAAGGCCTGATGAAGGTCTGAGCTCTGACAATATTTAAGACGGTTTGAAAAGATGATCATTTTATTTCCAAGTTCTCAACTTTTTTTTTTTCTCTTTTGGTTACAGTATTAAACTATTAAGTTATATTTAAAATGCAATTTATTAACATTATTTATTTATATATACAGTTGAAGTCAAGATTATTAGCCCTCCTAACTATTTAATTTTTTAAAATATTTTCTCAAATGACGTTTAGCATAGTAAGGAAATTTGTCACAGTGTTTCCTATAATATTTTTTCTTCTGGAGAAATTCATAATAGTTTTATTTAGGCTAGAATAAAAGCAGTTTTTAATTTTTTGTTAGCTTTTTTAAGGTCAATAATTATTAGCCCTCTAAGCAATATTTTTATTGTCTACAGAACAAACCACTGTTATACAGTGACTTGCCTAGTTAAGTTAAGCCTTTAAATTCCACTTTAAGCTGATACTAGTAGTGCCTATGGAAAATCATCATACCCTGTGAAAATCTATACCTTACATTATACCCTGCTTTCAAAGGATCTTCGGGATACAGTTGTAGGATAGACACATATACATACACATACATATATCATTTGTTTTAAAAGTAATTTATATTAATAACATCTTGAAGGTAAACAATTTAACTTTTTTTACTATAAGATATTATAAGTATTTTATTATAAATATTGCAGTATACATAATATGTTATACAATATAAACATTATCATGTTTTTATTAGGGAAATAATTTATATATATATATATATATATATATATATATATATATATATATATATATATATATATATATATATATATACTAAGTGTGTATATGAAATTTGTATAACTTTGTTAAAAATTCTAAGGATGTGTCATTTTTGCAGGCATTGTGAATCCTATCCTCGGTTAACTCTCAGAACAATTAAAGAAGTTGCTAGAAACCCTTTGCACCGTAATGGAAAGTACTGGAACTATCAGTCTGTCTATGCTAGAATCAGCGATGTGTTAAGAGCAAAAAAGAGAAGATAGAAACGCTTTAGTGGAGAGGGGAGGTTAGAAGCACACAGTCGTGACTCACACAGATTTCCCTTGAGCTCATTTTAATGCCGGTGTTACCCCGCTCTGGTCCAGTGGGGCTTGTGGGTCTAGAGAGACTTTAAATGTCAAATATCTGCCACTTGAACGATTTAAGGATCAGGATATAAATATGTCCAAATCTCCTGTTCAACTGTAACCTGTATGTTGTGCGTGTTTGCATGTGTTTATTACACAGGTACATATTTGGACACAAGTGGGATCTATGATGAGGAAGTCAGTTCACCAGAGAGCCTACAAAAGTAAGCTAACCACAATGGATATGTTTTAAGCATGATATCTCTCAAAATAGCTGACAGACAAAAGCAGAGCGGTATACTTGTTGTATATTTAGTTGTATACTAATGGCTCATTTCTACTGAGTGGTATGGTTTGGTGCAGTACAGTAAGGAACTTGCATTTATTTCTACGTCCACTGTCAGAATAGGGTATATGCCGAGCTGACTTTTGAAGAAAACTGACCTTAAACGGGCAGATTTTTGCATTGGCATACAGTTCACAGGACTGCGCTTAACCCAGGTTACTGGAAAATTAAAAATTCTATTAGCATGCTTCGGCATATACCCAATTACCAAAAAACCAAACTGTATTATACCATTTTTTTGTGAACATGGGTACTTAGGACAGTACTGTGCTAAAAGGGTGAAGATACATTCACTTCTAACTGGTTTACAGAGAATCGTCATTTACATGTGCAATAAGCCAGGAAAACATCAATACAAGAAGCCATTTTTTAATGCACAGCTGATAAACAACACCATAATAATACAATGATGGTGCGAAGCAATGAACCTTGCTCAACCCGATCACAAACAAGCCTTGTTGTTTTCAAGCAGCTAAGATGCCAAGAAGCAAAAACAAGATCTGCTGTATGTCCATATTGTTGTTTAAGGGGCAGTTTATATACCGTCTAAACATGTGGAAAGCTTATTTGTGCACACTTTGTTCAATTAGAAAAATTGAGTGCACTAAAGATGCGACAGCTTTCTTCTTTAAATGTGATTGACGTTGATCGCAACATTCTGGCGAACAGAAAGGTTTGTAGGTTGTTAGGCAACCATTAACTGTTTTCAGAGGATGACAAGCTGACAAAACATTGCTGTCACTCTGATACAAGGTTTATTTACGGAGAAAATTTCAAAGCACTGCTTTGTTGCACGAGTGTGTCACGACACTTACGGGCACAAGCCTCACGCCTTCATTGAAAAAACTTGATGAACACTAAAAAAGGCGCACTATGAGAACGGCCCCTAAAAGGCCGTCGTCATTTGTGATCTTCTGCAGTTGATCTTCTTGCACAGACATGCTGAAATTACCTGATTTGTTGACCAATGGGTAGTGGATCTATTCCTTGGCTGTTCGCGGGTCGTTCACTAGGCATTTCCCCTTACCAAGAAACTTTACAAAGACTTCTGTTTCTTACTCGTTTTGTTGCTTTAGTGACCAAAATGAACCAAGAGAAAACAGTCATTTTTCTAAATAAAAGATCATTCAGACTCAAATAGTTTTAAAAAATGTAAATTAATGATTTTTTGCGCGGTTCGGGACCAGTTCAAAAACCGGACTGGTACCGATCCATGCCACAATGGTGGACGACCACTGCTTTAGAGAATCTGTTTTGCTACTTTAGTGCAATTAGACACTTGCTTCTACCCATAAATATTCAAGTACACTGCATGTAAGATACTATGCTGCATAAACAGCAAACTCATTGCAGATTTTAGACAGGTGGTGATGGGGGATGTGGAGGATTTCAAAGAATCTCTGATGAACCAAATTTCTCAAGTTATAATTGGTCACTTTTGTACTTTTTTGACATTTCCTGAATCGGTTGGACTTTTTCTGATATTTTGATCTAATTTTATGTTACCAGGTCACAAAATTGACATGATTAGCAATAGGCAATGTAAAACAATACAGAAAGCAGCTGTTTATGGTTCATTTTGAGGTCTTTTGTTGATATTGTTTCCTCCTAAGAAAGTGGTTAATAGTGTGAATTGTTACTTAAGCTAAAGTATTGCCATATATATTTATTTTTTGTTATTTATTTAGAGGTACAAGTTCAGATGGCAGCATTTCTGGCAAGCATGCTTTAAAACCACTTTACAGTCTTTAATTTTTCATATTCAGTTCAGTTGGATGGAGAACCTGTGTTTGTTTTGAAAGCATTTGGCCACATGAAAGCTTAAACTATGAAAGCTACATTTTCAACTAAACCTGGTAGTGGTCAAAATATACAAACATACATAATCAGATACAAACAAATTCTGGAGATTTAGACAGGTGTTGCTGGTGAAGGCAAGAGATTTCTTATATGAAAACTATTTTACATATGTGAAGTTTATTTATAAACTAATTTTGAGAGGATCACGTGCTTATGATTGCTTGCAGCCGGCCCCACATTATTCAATTTATGATTCACCAATCAGATGATTCCTAAGCCATTATAAGTTACATATAACCTATTCGTTTTGAAGAATCCCCGCTTCCACCCCTGCTCCTCCATCTTTACTAGACGGATGGCACGGTGGCCCGGTGGTTAGCACTGTTGCCTCACAGCAAGAACTTTCTAGCCCTTACCGAGCCAGCCGATGTTTCTGTGCAGAGTTTACACATTTTCCCCATGCTCAGGTGGGTTCCCCCATCCACAACCCCCCCCCCACCCCCCATCCCCACCCCTCCCCCCAGGTTTCCTCCCAACATCCAAAAACATGCAACTGATGTTAATTGTGTCATCCAAATCAGCACCATAGACATACTAGTAAATAGTTATCTCTTAAGAGCATTTACTATCTGTTCATTAGCTTCTAGAACAGGGGAATTATCGAGATCTACCTGAGCTCAAACTCCCCTCTAGCCTTGCAAATGGGAGGGAGCCCCGGGCTCGAGGATCTGATGAGCTCAGGGCTCTCTCCTGGGACAGCATGCCAAACAAGCTTTATAATCTATCATCAGCTAAGTGTGAACTCTTGAAATGCTATATAGATATATTATAAACATATGTTTTATCCTATACAATCATGTGATCATCAGTCAACTGTGGATTCATGGCAGTCACATTGCATTACTCTGACAGGGTGATGGAGAATGAAGAGGGCAGAAAAGAGTATTTGGTGTTCCCCACAAGCAAGAACCATTGTCCCAGTCAGAAGGGGCGCAAAATACCCCTGAAGGGAAACGGCAGGAGAATCGATTACATCCTTTATAAAGAGGAAGGCCTTCACCAGGACTGGAAAGTGGTGAGTTCTGATTAATAAATCGACTTCCCTTTTATGAAGAACATTATGCAAAACATGACTAAACACATACTGTGAGTAAACATCACAGCGCACACAGAAACATGGGACTACCTGTGGGAAGTAAATACACCAGATGACTTCTGTTTTGCACATTCATGACTGTGTTTGGACATGTTTCTATTTGTAGTGTATTGAATATATTGTGTGTGTTTTACTTAATGCAAGAGTCAACTGGACACATATTGTGGATTAAACATTTTGTAGAACACTTGGGTATCCATTATGAATAATAAAAATATCCTAATAATATGAGGAGTAAACACAAGGGCAATGAATCAAAATTTGATCCAAAATGCAAAATAAGTTTTTGAAATGGTAACCTGATGCCGCTGTGCACTGTGTAAGATGTGTCATACTGTAAATAGGTTGTACTGTATGTAAACTCGTCACCTTGGAATTACAAGGTTCTATCTGCATTCTGAATGATTTTGAGATAAGCTTTAAAGTTTTTGGATTCCATAGCAAACAGTATGTGAGTAACATTTGTTTTTTAAATAAAAATTCTAAAAATGTAAACAACGTATATAAAAACATTCCATAATGTAAATAAGATGTAATTTAATAAAAATGTCAATAACTCAATTTTGACAAAAATGTCATATAGAATCTTATTATTCTAAGGTGACAAACTGTATAGCTTACTAATGTATGATTCAAAATGGCTATATTTCAAATGCAATTTTAGAATACCATCAAGTGCAAATTGTGTATTTCTTGTTGTTATTGTTAACTGTACATAAACTGTTTATTCAAATAAAATATATATATATAGAACTATATACAAATATTTAAAAAGAATTATTTAAAATAAATCTAAAATATGAAAAATACAAATTTATTAAAAAGAATATTACAAAATGTTTAAAAAAATGTTGACTAAACAGTTAACTGAAATAGGTATGCTGAATGTTAAAGCTAATTAGAAATTTTTTTAAAAACAAAACAAAAAAATATATATTATTAAATAAATAAGATAATCAAATGAAAATCAATTATGAATTATAAAATAATCAAATTAAACTTTTATTTTTTTAAAACACTGTAATATTAACACCAAGCAATAAACTGATGTTTTTAGTTATATTTACTCCAGCAGGCACAGATAGACATCGTATCCTAACGTCGTGGGACATTGCATTTGTAAATAAAAATCGGGTTCACGTCAGAATCCAGTGTCAGCCTAATGTCAATGTCCAATGTCAAACAGATGTTGCATTTTGGTCTAAAAACAACAAAATATCTAATCATGTTACAGTTTGACATTGGGTGGATGTTACCAATATGATGTCTGTCAGACGTTGGAATTTTGTTACGAAAAACCTGACCAATAAATGTTAGTATTTGACGTTAATATGATGTTGGTTCAAGATATTGGCTCGATGTTGGATTTTGGTCGCTTTCCAGCACAACCTAAAATCATCAAATTATCAACGTCGTTTCACATCGTTGTTGGATGTCAAATAATCATTGTACTTAGATGCTGGTGACAGAAATCTAACGTAATATCAAACCTCTTATGATGTTGAGTGTGCACTTGGATCTAACACCATAGTGCCCTCCTATGGAGCAGTATAAGTATAGCCTCCAAAAAGATCAATAGCATCTGACATGAGGTATAAATTGCTATATAATTAATTTATTTTAATAGTTCTTAAGGACTTGATCTATCGCCCCTTCACAGGATATAGAGGAGTTCAGCTTCATCACTCAACTGGCTGGATTGACTGACCATCTCTCAGTGGCTGCAAGATTGGTTGTGTCAACTGGAGAAGAGGAGACTTAGAACCCGGCCGTAATTGAGAAAAATCAATGCCACGGAGAGAGAGGAGAGAGAGGCAAAGAGAGAAGTGAATGAAAGGAAAAGCAGCAGGAGGAGGCATTTCGTCCAGCTTCCTGACAGATGAGGCAAGGGTGATTGAGAAGGTTGGTAAATCGTAAAAAACAACAACAACGGATGACATAAACTAGAGAGGGGGGTGAGGGAAGCTGAGAATACCGACATCGACTGAAAACAGGTGCATGTTGTTCTCTGTCCACCCCTGGACTCTGCTTGTTTACATCAAAACTGATAAACAAAAGATTTAACTCACCTTTGCACTTCTGAAGCTTCTCTGGGGCCCTAAAGGGGCGGAGGCCATTTTCTGGTGCCATGACCCAGATTTTTGAAGGAAGGCTGTTTCAAGATTGACTGTTCTGGTCGCCTTTGTACGTCGAACATGTGTTTCAAGTTAGATCTATCCCTCAGCGTTCTTCAAAAGACCTCAGCAAGTGTCTTTCTTTTCTAACGTCTTTTTAAGGTTTCTATGGCCTCGCGCCATCTTTTTAGGGAGTTTATATACTGATATACAATGATGGCATTGTATGGCCTCATCTAACACTACGTTAAACAATGTTTCAGATACAGTGACCAACTACCGGATGTGACCCCCAAACCATTGGTAGATGCATGCTTCGCAGTGCACCGCCATGTTTGTCATGGCCTGCATGTTTGACGTGAACGCCCAGATGCTATTTTTCACTAAAATCCCCAATCCCTGAACACCGTCTTTTTCTTCTTGCAGTATTGCTGTGGCTCCATCACAGGAATAAAGGTGTCATTGAAAGGCGCCGCAGTGTTCACTGTTTACATATTTGAGCCAAGATTGTCGTCCCCTGCAAATGTTTACACACAGTTCCCCAAGAACTACCCCAAGTTAGACCCACCTAAGCTCGCTGTTCATGTGTTAACACAACTGCTTTTATACTCTCTGAAAGTTTCTGTTATAAGTTGTTATTATTATTGTTATCATTATTCTTATGATTATTATGGTTCGTAGATTTGACATTTATGTGCTTTTTACAAATGACTACATTATTCCCCATGATGCATTTTATCTGCTTTTTTGCTGTAGTAGAGGTTTACAGCAGCCTAGTGTAGAGCTCCGCCCTGTTTTGACTGAAAAATTAATTGGCCAATCAGTATGCCTGTAGACGTGTTTAGCTTTGCTGTAACAGATGCTGTGTTCTATTCAGTTCTGAATGTGGATACTAAAATACTGGAGCCGTTTGAGATTCAGTGGCAATAACGTATTTCGCATGGAATGACAACGTGAAAGTAATGCATGTTAAACTACTCTGACTGAAAGTGTTTTACCAAAGTTAATCAAAATCAAAAACATACAAAACCAACATAGGCTTATTCTGAAAACATTAGTAGAGATCGTAATTATGTAGCCAGAAGTACATCTTTAAAATGAACGCTACAGAACAATATCTGCTGACTACTTACCTCCATATGGACGGCTTTCTTGCTGTTAACAGTTTGTCCAGTAGCTACCATGTACATTGGCGGACTTAAGATGCAGTGAGGAGTTGACCACAATGATGGTGTTCGAGTCTGATAAAGAATGGTTATAGAATGCGGGCAAAACAGAAGCCAAAAAATATGATAAGTAAATAATGGTGAGAATGTGGTAAAATCTGAAAATTTTATCAAATTCTTTTTCTGGATTGATTTTTAAAACTGTTGGTTGGGTTTATAGAAGTTTATAGAAGGTTAATCTGTGTTTCTGAAAACACTATTGGTTGGGTTAAGGGATGGAGGATGGTAAGCCAGTGATTCAGTCAGTCAAACAGTCAGTTGACAACGGCCTCTGCACTGCAAAAACACTGCACTGTTTCTAGTCCAAATATCTAAAAAATCTTAAATGAAGAATTATTTAGACAAGCAAAACATATTGTTTTGTTTTAAGAAATAATATGCCAAAATGAAGTGATTTTTTCCTTAAAACAAGCAAAATAATCTGCCAATGGGGTAAGCAAAACAATGTTATATAAAAAGGAAAAACAAGATTATTTTACTCAATAAAAAAAGATGTGTATAAGCTACGATAGAAACACTTTTACCGAACAAATTTCAGTATGCACATTAAAAAAAAAGTTGTTTTTTTTTAGGTCATTTGGTGATCAAAATGTGCGTGAATGGATAATCCAGCAGGCTGAGCACATTGTAAAACATCTGAAATGTTGTTTTGGTCATTGTAATACGTCTAATCATTTCAATATTAATGTTATTATATTATGAAATACCTCCAGAATAGTCAAGAGCGTCTGTGCTCTGCATCTCATGCCTTCAAACGCCACCATGCATACATTGCATGTCGACAGAGGCGCAAGTAATGTATTAAATAAAAAAAAAGATTCACGCAGCTTCTCCTACTGCAGCAAATTATATTTTCATATTTGATATTTGGCGCCAGTTAATCAGGAAGTGATGATTTTGTTTTCTTTGACTACTTGGATGGAAACGCTGCTTTATTTGCAAATCTTTTTTGCGATATTACAGTTTTGCGCTTAAATTTATTACGCATCTTTGAATGGAAATATAGCTATTTAAGTCAGATTGTAGAATAAATGATCTTTTTGGTGAATCATAAACATACTGTAGTAAAACTATAATAGTCAGATTCATAAATAAATAATTCTTTGAATCTAATAAATAAAATGCAGTATGACAATGGAAGTGTATTTTCAATATGAATAATTATTATGATTCAAATCTTTTTGGAAACATGTCAAAGTCTCTTTAAGACAAGTCATTTCACTCGACAACCATCTTTGAAACACCACTCGGAATCCTCAGTCTATAGCTATAGCTGATTGGCTCCTTTACTAGTAGACAGGGCTTCATTCGCCATATTGACCGTTACATTTTTCCCCATTCAAAACTAGATGAGTGACACGTCTTGTGTCTTCTATAGTCGTTGAACTCGCTTTCTAAATGAATTACTTATTTAAGTGAAATAGTTTTTTGTGGATCAAAAACATATAATACAGCCATGTTTAATCTAAGATGAATGACCCTAACCCTAATGTTTTTATTTGATTATTTTGGTCAAATTAAAAACACATAGCCCACTGTAAGTATTAGATTGATTTCAGTTTATAGCAGTTGCTCATTAGACAATGTGTAGGTAAAATGACAAGTTCTGAGTTTCGGAGTATAGTTTTTTGAAGTAGTGTTTGTGGTTGTGGTTGGAAGGCAGAAATAGGAACATCCCATTAAAAGTTTGAATAGAACACAGCATCAATCCAGTGCCGATTCACCCACCCCGCCACTAATGTTAATCTAGCGTATCGTTCTTTAATCAGGTCAGTGTGCCATAATAATGAACCCTATCCAGATTCACAGTACTTATGCTTATAAGGGAGCACAGGGTGCAGTTCAGAGTTTCTCATGGTAGTGAAAACCCTTGTTCTCAATCTGAACTCTTTCTATTGTAACTAAACTGCCATTGTTTTCCAAGGTCAGTGTTTCAGGGTCAAGCAGGAGAGCTGTAGTACAGATGCATGCAGTGAAATAGTGAAGCTTCACCATTTCTCACTCTCATCGCTGTCCATTAAGATCTTACTGTTCTCTATATTGTTTTTTTTGAGACTGTATGCGTTTTTTGTTGTTGTTTCTCTTTTCTTTTTTTAATTTCGAGGAATTTGGCTTGCTATAAGCTTTCGGCTGGTCAGGTTTTCAAGAGGAAAATGGAAAGGGAAAAGCTTTCTCAGTGTCAGCTCTTTATAAATGCATTTTGGTTCTGCTTTTTATTAAAAAAATCCCTCTTTGATTCAAAGTGTGCGTGTGTTTTGATTATTTGGTAAAAAATAGTATTGTTCACAATGTTTCCAGTGAAATTAGCATAAATCTTATTGGGGTCAGTAATGATTTGACCTTTTTATGTTCTCAAAACTGTATTAAATATTTGATAAAAAATAATAATGTAATAAAGTGAAATCTTATTACATTTTAGAACAAATTGCATCACATATTTAGGAATTTTCATTCTAATAGCTTAAAGGTGCAGCATGTAAGTTTGACACCCAGTGGCTGAACTAGGTATTGCACTCCTGCTTCAAAACGCATGCAAGCGCAGGTTGCCAGATTGATCAGAGTGTACCTGCCTATCGAGCCTAAACTTCATTGTTCTGTTATAAAATGATTTGCTTATGTTTTTACTGTAATAAGTTTATAATAAAATGTTGAAAATGGTACTGTGTTAGTTAAAAGAATTTAAAACTACATTATTATATTATTACCAAATATTTAAGGAAATTCCCCTTGGCAAATTTTATGTAATACTGTTTGGTATGTTTTTGGCCCACAGCCCTCAATCAAGTTTGTTTTTTTGGCACTTTATATGATAAAGTTTGAGCACCCCTGATATATACGATTCATAAACAAGGTGGTTTTACAAGTCTTCAATGTGGACACCTCCAAATGCCATTGAAAGAGTCAGCATATTGTATCTATGAGGTAAAAAACAGAATGTGCACGCCGATGAAATTTTACTAGTGACAAAAAAATAGTCAAATACTGATGAAAGTCTGATTTAAGTCGTGTTCTAAATAAAACCAACAGCACATGACAGAAGGAATATTTTCATATTAAAAGCACTTTTTTCCTAACCAATACCTGGAATTTATTTTTTAGAATCGGTTTCTTTTTTCTTTTTTTGCAGCTGGACAACAAAAAAATTGATGACATGATCACCTCAGGGACACCTCATGAGCTTTATTCATTGTTAAATGCTAACAATGTGGGTTTGAATGTCATTTTACACAACATTTGTTGCCATACTACTGAAAGCTGCAGCAGATAGTTTCACCTTAGATCTTGAAAATAAAATAAAAGTTTGAAATTTAACTTTAGAACTGTGAAGTAATGCAAACCAATACATATCAGTTTAATATGTTTTAATTAGATAATAAACCATTTTGTGAGTGAGTGCACGTTCTGTGCTTCTAAATAGCTATATTTAAATTTCTGTCATGTTTCGTCTAGTGCAAACAGCCAAATTGCTTATCACTGCAAATGTTGTCACGTAGCGTGTTGTTTGGACACGGGGTTACAATGTAATTTGCTCACCCAATGTTCAGAATATTTATATTATCTGCTAATTAATAACCTCTTGCAGGAACTCTGAATCTGCGTCTCATTTTGGAGTCTGCTACTGTCCACCGAAGATCCCATTTTGGTCACGGGCGCATACCTTTGAAAGTCTTCCTGACTGAATGAATGAAATAGCCAGTTTTCCTGCAAGACAACCCCTGATTGATGAAATATTATTTGCTAAAGTGGCAGTGGGTGGGTTGAAAGAACCAAAACAAAGACAACCGTTCGGGCATGTAACAGATATTTTCAAAGCAGAATATCTGACTACAGCATTGTTTTTCAGATAAACAAGACTTAGCATGTTTCTTATATATCTGCAAACTCACTATGGTATTTTTATACTTTAGAAGAGTAACAAAACTTGCATACAGCAGCTTTAAGTGACTGCAAAAGGATTTCAAAACTACAAACACTTGTTTTGAGTAAGTTTGAACTTCAATGCTAAACACTACAGTAAATTGCAAGGAAAATGATTTTTTTTTTTCTGGATGTCCTTTAGAATAGTGTACTGTACAAAACTCTGCACACATTCGGTGTATCTCCAAAATATTTTACAGGAAGCAGTTTTAAGTAAAGTAAATAAAAAAGTGATTTAGGAAGTATCTATTGTTATCTATTTCTCCAAAAGCAGATTGTTAGGTCAACAATAAACAACAAGATCATTTAATTTAGGATGGCTGTTTGAGTGCTTTAACATATATTTACAGTAATAAAAAAAAACATTTCTGAAATACATTTGAATTTAAATATATGCCAGTCAAATAAATAGGGCTACACGATTAATGGAAAAAAGATTGTGATCTCGATTCAACCCCTCACATGATCCTAATCCAACATCTACCAGAGATGCCTAAAGAAGGGCCCGCGGGCCAAAGTTGGCCCATGGTAACCTTTGATTTGGCCCACCATCCTATCAGAAAAGAGAGAAAGAATGATGGATAGGTAGTTGGGGCGAATGCCTTTGACATAAATCGTCATTTCGAATTGAACGAAACCTTTTGTTTCTTTGTTTTATTACTAAGCTACAAAAAAGCCAACTGAAATTAAATGAGTCAGTTAAATGTTGTAAAGGATTCAGACTGTTGTAATGTAAACTCTGTCACTTGACAGATAGAGGACAATGCACAAGTCATCTGTGAGCAAATCAAGCTAAAGGCAAGAGCAGCTGGACTACAGTATTCAGCATTAAACTCCATTATTCTGTTAAAAATGATTTGCTTATGCTTTTACTTTATTAAGTTTATTATAAAATGTTGAAATTGGTACTGTGTTAGTTAATAGGATTTAAAGCTACACTTTTTATATTACCAAATAAATTAGGAAATTCCCCTTGGCAAATTTAATATAATACTGCTTGTTATGTTTTCCGCCCACAGCCCTCAATCAAGTTTGGTTTTTGGCCCTTTATAGGATAAAGTTTGAGCACCCCTAAAATATATGATTCATATACAAGGTGGTTTCACAAGTCTTCAATGTGGACATCTCCAAATGCGTTGAAAGAGTCAGCATATTCTATCTATGAGGTAAAATTCACTAAAAAAATGTCATTCCTGTCTTTATGTAATGACATATTCGCAGCCTCCAAATCACACATGAGCTGACGCACTGTTTGTTTACAACAGAATGTGCGCGCCCATGAAATTTTACCAGTGACAAATAAATAGTCAAATAATATTGTCAACGACAGATTTCAAGCATATGTCTTAAACAATAATTCAGAATTACGGATAGTTGTATTCTAATGCCGTCACTTTACTGTGAATTAGCAACCAGGACAAATTCAAAGCCTATTCAAGTCCACCGTTCCATGTCTATACAAAACTGAGCATTTTAACCAACAGTAGACACATTGACCTAAAATAATAATTTTTTTACCATATGTGTGAAAAATAACAATAAAAGCCTACTCATATTAACCTTTATTTTACATCTACCGAATTGTGAGAAAGTCGTGATCTTTATAAAGCAAAAAAAAAAAAATCATGATTCTCACTTTAGCCAGAATCATGCAGTCATACAAACAAATGAACGTAATACATGTCAGTAATATGTCTAACTATGTCATTTAGATGGTTATGTTTATCAATTAATTTTGTATCAAGCACAGGCTTTCATAGTTGAACATAGTTGCAGCAAGTTTGTAGATCCTGTGAAAAATGCTTGTTGTTTGGTTAGAGCAAGGTCTCTGTAATCTGAATGATGTCACTTGTGTTGGTCAGAATGGTAGACCGAAAGAGGATGTGATACCAAGCGGGACATTTTTTAAGGCCTAAACTTAACCTAATGTATGATCTAAATGCAGTAACTAAAAAAAAAGAAAAGCAAGGGGGAAAAAAACACTGCGTCTCACAAACGGCTCGGAAATGTAAAGTTTGTAGCGTATTTAGTCATAATATTTCTGATTTGTAATTATTCAAATATTTGCAGGCTTAATTCAGTCATTTGAAAAAAAATATTTAAGTGCAAACATACTACTTACTGGGTTTGCCCATCTAAAATGTACTTATAGTCCATGTAGTCCAAATTACAAGCTAATTGATATGTGCTGGTTCTTTTTCATGAACATACAGCATAAGCACAGCATAAAATGCAAATGTAATGTGGGATTCACAAACAAATCTGCAACCACAAACTTGTGGTTAAAACAGACCTTGACCTGTGGTAAGAAGCTGATATTCCCCCTAATATGACATATGAACTTTTATTGAACTTATGGAAGTATCTATTACTTGTGGTGTGGTGTTTTTTGTTTTCAATATTAATAACTACTGCATCTGTAAATTTATTTCTTGTGTAATTAAAATTGAGAAAACTGTTTAAGGGACACTCTACCAGAAACGCACAATTTCACTTATAAAAAATATGACAGGGCCTGATTTAAGCTTGTCGTCCTCAAAAAAAAAAAAAAAAAAAAAAAAAAATCACACAAACACAAGCATAAAATCATAGAAATTCAATGATAAAACGCATCCTTGATCACGGTCAACTTCTCTGTCAAATTATGTCACTTCCAAGTCATAGCCTTAAAGGTGTATTGCACACATTTTATGATAATTTATTGCAAATGTGACAGGACTGACAGAAACATGAGGATAACTGTACATTTATTTGTATTATATTTTTTGAGTATATATTTTTAGAATGTATTCATAATTTCATGTTTTTCACAATTGATGTGAATGATAACAACTTAAACTTGTTATTTCTAAAGTATTTGTTTCTAAATAACAGTTTTCAGCACAACAAAATTATTAAAGCTGTAGTGTTAATTGGACTGAGGACAAGGACGATGACAGAGTTTGCAAAGTCTTTTTAAGAAAGAACAAAAATCTGAGAAATAAATGAATGACAGTCCTTTACAGAACAACTCACAGACATCAACCATCAGTCCATTTTAGAAAAGTTTGGATGACATGCTTTTTATTCACTGTATATTTGTTTTTATTTCAGGGACAGATAATGTTAGTTTCTGTTAGAATATCCCTTAAATGAAGCATATTATATCCTGAGTAGTATATTTAAAGCTAAAGAGGTTTTAGCAAAATCACATTTGTTAAAGATTTATTTGTTTTTTGGGAACCATATAGGGATGTTGTTTGTAGACAAAACCATAATCTAATCAAAATGCTGGTGGGAGGTATTTTGTAACAACTTAAAGAGAACCTATAAGAGAAC